CGAGGGGGCCGGCTCCGGGCTCCCGCGGCCCGCGGTGGGAGTGGCGCGGCGGCGGCCACGTGGCGCTCTGCCACTGGCTGCGGGCGGCGGCGGCGGCGTGTCCGGCCGAAACGGACACGTCCGGCGCGGCGCGAGGTGGATTTCTAGGGTTTCGGAGGTAGGAGGAGATCCGAAAATCGAGGGGGTGTTTAAATAGGCATAGAGGGAGCTAGGAGAGTCCAAATAAGGTGCTGTTTTCGGCCACGCGATCGTGATCGAACGCTCTAGAACATGGAGCAGAGTTAGGTGGGTTTTGGGCCAATTGGAGGGGTGTTGGGCTGCAACACACACGAGGCCTTTTCAGTCCCTCGGTTAACCGTTGGAGTATCAAACGAAGTCCAAGTGATACGAAACTTGGCAGGCGGTCTACCGGTAGTAAATCAAGGCCACTTGGCAAGTCTCGGTCCAATCCGGAAATGTTTAATCCCCACACACGAAAGAAAGCTAGAAATGGCTACCGGAGGAGAACGGAGCGCCGGAATGCAAAACGGACAACGGGGAAAATGCTCGAATGCATGAGACGAACACGTATGCAAATGCAATGCACATGACGACATGATATGAGATGCATGACAACAATAACAACACACGGAGACAAAACCCGAACCCGAGGAAATAAATATAACTTAACGCCGGAAACGGCAAGAGTTGGAGTACAATTAGGGAAAGTTATATCCGGGGTGTTACAAGTCCGCTACAGCCCGGTTCACCGGAGTCCTGCTAGCCCAGCACTACTGCTCAGAACACTTGACTGGCCGGCATGTGTTCCACTTCGTTCCTATGTATGTCCCTTCGGGGAAATGTCACGCGGTGACTTCCGGAGTCCTGCCTAGCCTGCTACAGCCCGGGTTCCCCGGAGTCCTGTTAGCCCAGTGCTACAGCCTGGATTCATACGCTGTTGACCGACATGCTGGATGTGATTCATGTATGCCTGTCTCCATAGGTCTGTGCCGCTTTGGGTTCACGACTAGCTATGTCGGCCCGGGTTCTCTGTCATATGGATACTAGCGACACCATCATATACGTGAGCCAAAAGGCGCAAACGGTCCCGGGCCATGGTAAGGCGACACCCGTGAGGATACCGTGCGTGAGGCCGCAAAGTGATATGAGGTGTTACATGCTAGATCGGTGTGACTTAGAATCGGGGTCCCGACACCAGATCTCAAGGAAGAGAAGAATGCCAACACCCTACACTGCCTATTGCTTGATAAATTAGGCTGGATATTGGGCTCAATAAATTAATCAAGGTATATGCTTTTATCTTTCCTCCCAACTGTATTCAGATTTCTTCCCCCCAAAAAAAAAAGTTTCAACTCCCCGTCTAAAACCTGCTGACCACCCTCCATCGGTCATTATGTCATAACCGGACACGGCAGACATGTAAAGTAACAGAAAGGAACCAGCACACTGTTTGTGAGAAGATGCAAAATTCAAAACAGAACTGAGAATTATTCCATGGAAGTACTTATTATTGATATGTAGGACAAGAAACTTGCATGATATCTTATGACAGCACATCCCTACAAAAGAGAGCATAGACTACAAAGCTACAGGGTTCGGAACTAAGTAACACAAGCTTATATGAATGAAACAAGCAAACTAGAAAACGCATGGTTCACAGTTGAACCCCTAGTAGTTGATACAACACGCGGGCACCATGCTGATTGCGCATGTCACACTTGTAGGTCTTGTAGGTCGAAATTTCAGTACGAGGTCCTGCCATCACCCTCCATGATCATGTCCTTGAAAGCACCACCGCTTGGGATCATAGGCAGCACGTGCTCCTGATGCGGGACGATGATATCCAACAAGTATGGCCCTGGGGTCTCAAGCATCTTCTTGATTGCTGCAGTGACTTCGCTCTTCTTCGTCACACGAACTGCCGGAACGTTGAATCCTTTAGCAATCGTCACAAAATCTGGATATATCTCACTCTCATTTTCTGGGTTGCCAAGGTATGTGTGCGCCCGATTGGCCTTGTAAAACCTATCCTCCCATTGCACCACCATTCCCAGATGCTGGTTGTTCAATATCATCACCTTCACAGGGAGGTTCTCAATACGGATCAATGCCAACTCCTGAATGTTCATGAGGAAACTACCATCTCCATCAATGTCAACAACTGTAACACCTGGGTTGGCCACAGCAGCGCCAGCTGCAGCTGGTAACCCAAATCCCATTGCCCCCAAACCAGACGAAGACAGCCACTGCCGTGGCCGCTTGTAAGTGTAATACTGAGCCGCCCACATCTGGTGCTGCCCAACACCAGTAGCAATGATCGCCTCCCCTTTTGTCAGCTCATCCAGTACCTGGATAGCATATTGCGGCGGGATGGCCTCGCCAAAAGTCTTGAATCCTAGAGGAAACTCCCTCTTCTGCTGATCCAACTCCTTGTGCCATGGACCAAAATCCAGACCCTGTTGTGCTTTGCTCCCATTTAATAGAGCATTCAACCCCTGTAAAGCAAGCTTAACATCTGCACAAATGGAGACATGTGGCTGCTTGTTCTTGCCAATCTCAGCTGGGTCAATGTCAATGTGCACAATCTTGGACCTGCTTGCAAAGGCCTCGATTTTCCCAGTCACGCGATCATCAAACCGCACACCAAATGCAAGCAACAGGTCAGCCTTATCGACTGCATAATTTGCATACACAGTGCCATGCATCCCAAGCATGCGCAGAGACAGTGGGTCGTCGCTGGGGAAGTTGCCAAGGCCCATCAGAGTAGTTGTAACCGGAATCCCAGTGAGCTCAACAAAGCGGCGCAACTCCTCGCCGGATGCAGCGCAGCCACCACCAACATACAGAATTGGGCGCCGTGACTCGCCAACCAGACGCAGGACCTGCTCAAGCGATTCAGTAGATGGTGGCTTGGGCAGGCGGGCGATGTACCCTGGCAAACTCATCGGCGTGTCCCAGATAGGCACGGCCATCTGCTGCTGGATATCCTTGGGGATATCAACCAGCACCGGCCCCGGGCGGCCAGAGGACGCGAGGAAGAAGGCTTCCTGGATGACGCGGGGGATATCCTCCACGTCAAGGACCAGGTAGTTGTGCTTGGTGATGGAGCGCGTGACCTCCACTATGGGCGTCTCCTGGAACGCGTCCGTGCCGATCATGCGGCGGGGGACCTGGCCCGTGATGGCGACCATGGGGATGGAGTCGAGGAGGGCGTCAGCGAGCGCGGAGACGAGGTTGGTGGCCCCCGGGCCGGAGGTGGCGACGCAGACGCCGACGCGGCCGGACGCGCGGGCGTAGCCGGACGCCGCGAACGCCTCCCCCTGCTCGTGGCGGAAGAGGTGGTTGGTGATGACGGGCGAGCGCGTCAGCGCCTGGTGGATCTCCATGGACGCGCCGCCGGGGTAGGCGAATACGTCGACGATGCCGCAGCGCTCGAGCGCCTCGACGAGGATGTCGGCGCCCTTGCGGGGCTCGGACGGGCCCCAGGGCCGGAGCGCGGTGGCGGGGGGCGCGGCGGAGGTGGCAGCAGCGGGGGGCGCGGCGCAGCACCTGACGACGCGGGCGGGGAGCGCGCGGCGCGAGGCGGGCTGGTGGCGCGGGAGAGGCTGGCGGGCGGGCTTGGGCATGGCGGCGGCGGCGGCGGCGGCGCCGGAGAATGCGACGGCGGGGGAGGTGGCGGCGGCCATGGCGGCGGCGAGGGTTTGGGCGAGGGGAGAGATTTCTGTGAGGCGGAGAGAGGGTTGGAATTGGGGAGGGGTGATGGTTTTGTCTTTGGCGCTGTCACGCGGCGGGTGAGCGTGTGGTTCAGATGGGACGCCACTCGTTTGTTTGGGCTAGCTTTTTTTGTGCAGAAAGGCTGATGCTCAAACAAGCAATTATTTTGGACCCGTGTGATATCACCAGAGATTTCGTATCTATTTTGCACTCGCCAAGCTATCAGACTGTTTGGATTGTGATTATTTTTGTCATACTTCTATAACACATTATTTTTGTCACATTTATCGCATTTATCTTACTTGAGTTGATTAAATTGTTAACCACGCTTTGACCGTCTAAAGGAATCTTTTCACAATTTTTCTGTCTATGACATATGGGGTTCACTGCTCAGAAAAACAAATCTTGCCTTAGATGTGGCTAGAACCAAATACTCACCTAATTTGATCAGATTTGACTAAGGTGATGTATGGTAAAGTGTGACAAGATATGGTTAGAAACCAAAGAACCCCTATGTCTCTCCGATACCGATTCTTATGAATGGTCTACGGGCGAACGACTACGGGCCGGTCAATTAGCGGTGTTGCTCGATGCATGCCTTCGCTCATTCGTGTCCGATCGCTCCGTTCGATTGGTAAAGTCCGGTTTTCTTTATTTTTTCTTTTCATTTTTTGTGTGTTTTTGCCAGTATTTTTCGGTTTTCTTTTCTTTATGTTTTTTTCTTCTTTGATTTTCAATGTTTTTTCTCTTTTTCTTCTTCTTCTTTATTTTCTTTGGTTTTTTGGGTTGTTTTTTCTTTGATTTTCTTTTTATGTATTTGTTTGTTTATTTTTTCAACACATGTCTACTTTTGCACATATGATGTACATCTTTTATACATGTAAAACATTTCTTATAAATGACTTCCATTATACATGTATAGTTTAAACTTTTTTATAGAAACATGTTTTGAATATATTTTCCAAATATGTGTTAAACATCTATACCAGTATAAAACGACACAAAGGGGAAGATCCAATAGATCCCGGCCGTCAAATCGGGTCAATCCAATGACCCATGCTACTTCAATGGTGAGGGCTCAACACGTTAGTGTGCAGTTAATATCATATCAAATATTAATACCAATGCTAATTAATCACATACTTAATGCACAAATAATATATACCAAATATTTACTGTAATTAATATATTACCTAATATCAACGTGCATTGCACATACACATTTACTAATTTTTTTAAATACACAATCAAATATATTTTTAGCGAAAAATATTTTTTTGAACTATGTAAACATTTTTGTACATTGTACAAACAATTTTTGATAATATAATGAGCGCATTTGTTAAGCTTGAGAAGAATTATTCAAATGTGACATAATTTTTGTTGAATGTATCAAACATTTTAAGAACATTACATGAACACTTTTCTAAAATTATATACATTTTTTTTAAAGTCCACATACATTTATTTTGAAATATGTGGCACTGTTAATTGTCATAAACATTTTTGGTACACATAATTAACATTTATACATTTTTCATTCATGTTATATATTTTTTATATACATCGAAAATATTTTTCCTATACAGGTTTAACATTTTTCAAATGCAAGATTAAAAAATTCAAAACATATATAGAACATTTTGAAATACAAATAAAATTAAAGAGAAAGCGAAAAATGAAAATAAAAGCATGCATGATGTCATTGTGACATCAGCATGACACAATTAGTGGTTCCTAGCCCGACCCTCGGGCTGTAGGCAAGCCGTGCCTGGGCGTCGCAACAGGCGGAACATTGCCGCGCCCAGAGCGACTATGTATTGCTCGTAGCGACTCCTACGTGAGAGTCGCCTCTAGCGATCCGGTGGACAAGCGCAACGACCATGGGGACTCGTCATGTTGATGTGTTCTGTTTATTTTGTTTCTTTTTTAATAATATTAAGTACATATTTTATAAAAAATACATAAGTTAATTTTAAAGAGTGATTATTACATTTAAAAATGCAATGTAAAAAAATGTTCGATCAACTTTTAGAAAATAAACGAGCAATTAAAAAACAATCTATGTGGCATTTAGAAAATTATGTTTTTCAAGCAATTCACGTGTAACTTATAGAAAATGAATAAACCATACAAAATAATATACAATGTAAAAATAATGTTCGCACGGTTCAAAAAAATTTCATAGTACCATTCAAAAAAGTATGTTACATTTAAAAAATGTTCGAGCATTTCAAGCAAAATGTTTGTAATATTTCAAAAAAATAAAGTGTATAAAATTGTCTGCATAATATTTTTTTGAACGTATTTCATATCATAAAATAAATTCTTTGAAGATGTATTTCAAAAAAGTGTTCAAAACAAGTACTCTATCTCTGAAATAAATTATTAATCATGTATTTAAAAAAACTTAAATGTGTACAAAAAATACACAATGCATATGAAAAAAGTTGACATCAAAATATATAATTTAATAAATGTTAATTATATATCTGAAGATTAAATTAAAATTTAAAAACACACAAAAAAGTAAACCGATGAAAACCAAAGAAAGAAACAAGGAAATTGTAGGAAAAGACAAAAGCAAAAAACAAGAGGGTGAAATGAAGAAAACCACAGAAAAATAGAAGAAAACCGATGCAAAAGTACTGAGAAAACCCGATATAAAACCAATGGGGAAAAACTAGTGCGGCTTGTATGCGAGTTGTAATAGGAATCCTTTCACGCAACATATATCTCCCGATCTCATTGATAGATTGTCGACCAAACGCATAGGAGAGGTAAGTGGGTTGTGCCCCCCCCCCTTGGGTTCGCGCAGAGAACTCCCGCTATTCTTCCCTGTTTTTTCAGTTGATTTCTACCAAAATAAATTGGCTCATGTAATTGTATATAAAAATGTAATTGCAAGAAAATATTTTAAGAATTTAAATTTTCTAATCTTATTCTCGAAATGTTAAAAAAGGTTAATGAAATTATAGAATGTTTTGGAAAAATGATCCTATTTTCAAAATCTATCAATGGATTAAAATATATTCACAAAGAAATAAAAAAATAAACATAAAATTTGGAAAAATGATTATTATAAAATTTATCCTTAGATATAAGAAATGTTAACGTACTTCAAATAATTTTCATAAAATTTAAAAATCAAAAAATAAAACAGACTCATCAACTTTAAGTAATTTCATATCCTTAGAAAATAAAAAAAGGTGGACGGAAACTACAGAACATTGATAGAAGAAAACAAAAAAATTAACATGAGAACGAAAAAATAAACTGGCCCGCCCACCCCGTTAGTTGGCCCAATCCATAATGGACCTCGTTGTGCAAATGCACGACAACTTGCGGAGACAGCGACAAATAGAAATAGCGCGGAATCACAACACGAATAATTTAGACTCATCGTGAAATCACAACTCGAGGGCCGAAGCTCAAGAGATCACTCATTCTTTTAATCTTAGCTCCATGAAAAAAAATCTTGCCTTGATGTTTAGAATTGATATAGCTAAACTTTTTGATCCACT